CATGATTCTAGGGACAGACCTCTACTACCTATTACCTCCTCTTCGCGTTAATATACTAGAATGTTAGTTATACATCGGATGATCAAAAAGTTCTGCGGGCCGCAGATATACTTTTCAAATAAATTACTTGAATGTACATTCTTTGAAAAAAAAAAAAAAAATTAGCGGGAACTCAAATTAGTACTGTTTTTGAAAGTTCGCCCAGATGTAGATCCCTGCTAGTTTTATTTCTTTGTTGAATTTCTAATGGGCATCACGGCTTTAACTAAGCAAAAATTTACAAACTTTCTTTTAAATAGGAAGCGATAGGCATTACCTATCGCCCGGTCCATATTTCTCTTCCTTCTCTGGAACAGGGGTAAAGGCTCATCCTTTATTTCCCGCGCAGGAAGGGGTTCCCAGTTCCTTTCCTTTACCCAGGCCTTAATAGTGGTGCTGTTATTAATTTTTTGTGATATGTGTGGATGGTGGCAACATACTGGTGGTACAGGTTTGGAAGTTTTCTGATTGCTGCTTTGCAACTGGGAGTTAGGAGCTCGAACTCATGTTTATCGTTTAGAGAGGCTACTCTGTTCAACAGTCGTATAATATCTGGGTTCTTGTAGTGCCATGTGGCGCATGAAAGGGTGTTCTTGCAAGAACCCCCGGTGGCTAACCCCGAAGCCATACTATGTTGCAGTCTACCCCAGTTCCTTGCCGCACATGTTACATTAGACGATTCACTACTACTACTACCCTAACCATTTTAACATGCCATGACTATAAGCAGTCAAAACTAAATTAGCTCGACAAATATCACCTAACGCCCCTTAACCTTTCTTTCTCCAACATTTGTGGTATTCGTAACAACTTCTGCAGTGAGGAATCGTTCCTCTTCGAAAAGTCTCCGGATATTCTCGCTCACTGCGAAACTAATCTTAACTCTTCAATCCAATCCTCTAATATCTCGATTCCTGGTTATCTTCCTCACTTTAGGAAGGATTCTGTTGTCCACATGTATAGCCTGGGAGATTATGTCTCCGAACATATCCCGCTGGCTAGGAATACTCTTGAATCTCCAGACCATTCTTACATGTGTCTCAGTATCTCTCTAATAAACTCAGTCAGGTATCCGTTCTTTCTTTACTGTTTCCCTTCCTCCCAAGACTGTTGCCTTCTAGATAGTATTTCCGATAATACAGACAAGGCCATCTCCCTACACCCGTTTACAAACATATTTGTGTTCGGTGACTTTAATGCCCACCACACAAGGTAGCTTAAACACTGTCACTGATCTTGCTGGCATCCAAACCTTGAACTTCTCAATCACTCAATCTCCCACGCAAGTGATGGACACAGTTTCCCAGTAATACTTGATGGGCACACTTCTCTTCTTGATCTCTTTTTTTATCTATATCCCCAACTCATGGCGTACTTTCCAGCGATATGGCAAGTATAATTGTAGTGTCTGTAAACATCTTCTTACGCTCTTCCACGGGAACCTCCTACCAACAGAATATCCTTCTGTTATCAACGAACGGATTGGAACTCGTTCCGTGATTTCCTTCGTGACGTCCCTTTGAATGAAGTTTATCATCATCCCGTTCAATAATGAGCGTCTGATGTCTCCTGTGTGAAAGCCGTCAGAAAGCTTTCATTTCCGCAAGGAAATACCAGCTTAAGTCACGTTCATCTCCTTGTTTCTAACCTGATTCTCGGTCGCCATAGCCCATAGGAATCACTTCTTGCGGCTGTACCAGAGCAACACGTCTGATTGCGACAGACGTCTCTTTGTCTCTGCTAGTAATAAGGGCAAGCGTGTCCTTAATGAGGCGAAGTGACAGTTTGCTGATCGAATGAAACAATGTATAGCATCTCGCAAGCTCGGTTATAGAGATTATTGGCGGATCTGGAAGAGGGTGCTGAACAGCAACAAAACCTCAATCCCTCCTTTATTCAATCAATTTGAAGTCCTGACATCTTCAGCAGATAAGGTTGAACGCTTTGCTCGGAAATTCTCATCCAGCTTAACACTCGATTCATTTGGAGTACCCCAACCCTAGAACTGAGGCTCCACTGAGTGATATGTGCATAATTCCGACACTAGTCACAGACAACATTTCCAAATTAGACTCCTACAAGACAAACGATAGCGACTGTATCCAATATGTCGTCCTAAAGAAATGTGCTCCCAACCTGGCTGCAGATTTATCCAAACACTCCAAACTATTGCCTTCCTACTTCCTGTTTTCCACCTTGTTGAAAGTCCTCCTCTGTAGTTCCTTTTATAATAACTATAGAGAACCTTCTGATCCTTGTAACAATCGCCCTATTAGTAGCCCCCCCCCCTGCTTTCGGCAAAAAATTCGAGGCTTTAATCAATGCTGAAATGGTTACGGTGGAGTAATGGATAGCGGCTCTGATTGAGGAATCGGAGATCCCAGTTCGAATTCCTGTCGTGCTAATACACTACACTAGAGAAAGGTATGAATCATTTTCTTTCCCCCCCAGCTATGGGTAAATAGCAGGATAGACCAGTTTCTGTAACCTTAGATGGTAACTGGTCTACCGCAGAAAGAAATGGCAACCTCCTGCGGGGAAAATATGCCTCGTCAATCATATATCGAAAGATACACGATCGCCTAAGCACATAACTGACTGAAAATGGTTAAGCAACTTACTTCTCACGACCTACACTCTGACAAACAATATGGCTTCCGTTTTGCCAGATCTACCGCTGATGTACAAACGCCTATAACAGAATATGTATATCAAGCTCTTGATAATAACGGCGAATCTCGAGCTGTGGCTCTAGATATCTCGAAAGCTTTTGACAAGGTTTGGTAACCTGGTCTTCTATGTAAGATCCAGGGCTGCGGGTTTGATTTAATCCAATCGTTCCTATCAGATCGCGAAATGAATGTCGTTTTCAATAGACTCGCTTCCAGATCCTTTCACACGAACGCAGGTGTCCCTCAATGCTCTATCCTGGGCCCTACGCTGTTTCTGATCTTCATAAATGATCTTCCTGGTGTTATCAGTTCCCAAGTAGGCATTTATGCAGATGACACTACCATTTATTCCTGTCTCAATAGCAAATCCGTCAGAGCTGACAAAGTTTACCTGACCCCTGCTCTTGAAAAAGACCTCCCCAGTGGTTAACTGTTTTCATATGTCGTATATTTTAATCATCTTTCCTAATTTGGAGGGTTTTCTATTTGAAATTGTTTGAGCTAATTTATTCTCCGTTTATATTTTTCTGCTCGTCATTAGAGTCAGATTGCAAAGGCTTGTACGGCTCTTCTTATCTGGGTTAACTTCTGGTTTACATTCTTTGTTTACATCGTCAAACTCAAGTCGATTGCTCACTATACTGAAATTGTTATTCCAATTCGTTTTACTAATTTATTGAACATCAGTTTTAATTTTATTGATTGGCGAGTTGCCGTCAGGTAATTATCACTCTAAAAAAGTTAATTATTTGCTTCTATGAGTTTTGATGTTCTCTCTCAGTTTTCTTCACTGTGGCCGACATCACTTAGAAGAAAGTCTCCTCTTTATTTCTAACCGTTAGATTTTCTCTTTCGTTTTCTCTGCCGTCTTATCAAGAGAAAGACTCATTAAATAATTTAAAACTTATTATTATTATTCCACCTTTCAGCTCAATATAAAAAAAATAAGGACAGTGTTTAATCAAACCAAATTTCACTTTTTTCCTATTATAACGATCTATAGAAACTAGGCTATTTTGATAATATATAAGAGAATAAGAGAAAAAAACCCGAAATATGGGCAGATGGCAAAAAGGCAAACCCCAAGGGTGGACTATCGGGTTGTTTAGTGAATGTAATATATGTTGGATATGTATTAAATAAGAAAAAAAAAATGAATGAAAATTAGGTGGTTGGTAATTAGTTCCAGGAAAGAAAAAGAGAGAAAGAAAAAGAGAAAGAGAGAAAGTGAGAGAGTCAGTATAAGAGAGACTGTCAGAAAGAGACGGTAAATTGGGAAAAGAGAGAAAAAAAAAACAATGAAGTAAAATAACAAAATGAGGATGGACTTAACATTAAAATACTGATTCCCTTTGCACGACAAAAAAACAAAAGTACCACAAAATAAAATAGAACAATTAACGCTGTTAATAATCCAGGCCTGTTCTCCATTAATACTGTGGCACCGATGTGGGCACAATTGGGCAGTAATTAACGAATCAAGAACAACCGAGGCCAACTCCCAAATGTTATGTTTCAGAACAGAATATGATGTCAATAGATGGGGGGGTGATAAACTGACCCCCCACCCCCGTCAATACATATAGCCCATGGTGGGACTTAAACCCTAAGGCGGTTGAGCTGCTGCCTGATGTTATCGAACAACTGGGAAGGGCGGCGGAGAATTGCCGGCAATTACTCCAGTTCACTTCCATTTGGTAACCTAATGACCATTATATATTTGCTTTTGGCTATTACGTGCCAGCGTTTAATAAAGCGACCTACTGATCAAAAAGGATGTGGCTGTTGCCGCCCCTGTCGTAAATTGGTTGACAGAATAAAACAATGGCCCTTTTCAACAATTGGCCTCGATCGTGTGCCGCTGAGCGTGGCATAGAGATTATGTGTCTGAAAATATCCCATAATTGGCCCCGAAAATTCAAGCCTAACACTGAAGAAATGAAGTAATATATGTCTGTGTGCGTATATATATATATATATATATATATATATATATATATACACGCGGTGTATCTCTTAGGAAATGAGAGCTCTTACATATATATATATATATATATATATATATATATATATATATATATATATATATATATATATATATATATATATATCAGATAAAATGTTTAAGAAGCCAGCCTTCGATTAAGCGTTTTGTAAAATATAAAGCCATTATCGGCGTTTGTCGTGTGTCGAATAATAGCACGTAACAGGAGGTATTTGATCACCAAAAGACATAAAGAAAATCTATCTACATTTTTTTCATATTTTTCTCTTCGTCTGTTCACATGTATGTATGTATGTATGTATGTATGTATCTATCTATCTATCTATCTATCTATCTATCTATCTATCTATCTATCAACATCTGTTCAGATTTCTCTTCGTCTGTTCCTATCTATCTATCTATCTATCTATCTATCTATCTATCTATCTATCTATCTGATGTTTTATTTTGAATTTTTGCAAATGCCCCGCCCGTCCAAGAAATGTAATTGATTTTTTTTCACCACTTTATCAAAAAAAAAAAAAAAAGTTTAAGAAACAAAAAGAAATAATGGACGCACCGGCGAATTTGGATATGAAATTTATATATATATTTAAATATATATATATATATATATATATATATATATATATATATATATATATATATATATATCAATAAAATGTTTAAAAGCCAGCCTTCGATTAAGCGTTTTGTAAAATATAAAGCCATTATCGGCGTTTGTCGTGTGTCGAATAATAGCACGTAACAGGAGGTATTTGATCACCAAAAGACATAAAGAAGATCAATCTACATTTTTTCATATTTTTCTCTTCGTCTGTTCACATATATGCATGTATGTATGTATGTATGTATCTATCTATCTATCTTTCTGTCTATCTATCTATCTATCTATCTATCTATCTATCTATCTATCTATCTACATCTGTTCAGATTTCTCTTCGTCTGTTCCTATCTATCTATATATCTATCTATCTATCCATCTATCTATCTACATCTGTTCAGATTACTATTCGTCTGTTCCTATCTATCTATCTACATCTGTTCAGATTTCTCTTCGTCTGTTCCTATCTATCTATCTATCTATCTATCTATCTATCTATCTGATGTTTTATTTTGAATTTTTGCAAATGCCCCGCCCGTCCAAGAAATGTAATTGATTTTTTTCACCACATTATCAAAAAAGGGAAAAAAAGTTTAAGAAACAAAAAAGAAACAATGGACGCACCGGCGAATTTGGATATGGTTTAAATCATATATATATATATATATATATATATATATATATATATATATATATATATATATATATATATATATATATACACATATATACAGATGAACATGCGGGTAAATACATATATGTATACACTTAGACAATCAAGCATATGTACAAAGCCTCAAATATATATATTCATATATACACACAGGTACACATACATAAATATACATTATTTATTTATATATATACATATAAATATAAAAACGGACACACATATATATACATAAAAGTACATATACAAATATGTATTATATATGCATATATACACATACATACATATATAATTATATCACATATATCATAATTTACTCACACACACACACACACATATATATACACACACACACACACATACACACACACACACACACACATATATATATATATATATATATATATATATATATATATATATATATATAGCAATTAATATATTTCTAATCAAGCATTATTCTTATTAACATAAGAGGTATTTAAATTTAGATAATATATTTTCACCATTAAAAATCAAATGTGTCTCTCTCTACCCAAACACGTATATGCACTGAAATAACATTTATATATAGAGAATAGTAATTAATATATATATATATATATATATATATATATATATTATATAAAGGCACAACTAATATTTGTTTGTCTGTGTGTAAATTCCTTACGAAAGAGCATTGAAGCATAGGTTTATATGCATACTAATAAATCTAATCATATACACAGATACACACACGACATACCTGCACACGTGTGTGTGTTTGTGTGTGCGCGCGTGTGTGCGCGCGTGCGTCCGTATGCATACCACTGCGGTTCTGACATGTCGTGTGATGTGCGAATATTGTAATGGCTACCGACTCGGGATGCGAAATCAAGGTTTCGGATTTCGAATTCTTGTCTGGTTAGTTGCATTCACTTAGGCGCAAATACTTTTGGGAAATCAATATGAATCCTTCACCTTTCGGCTAAATAGTAGGGCTTGGATTTGGAATAACATTATTCTCAAGAAATTGTTGATACAATTTTTACCCCCCCCCACACCATCAAAAAAAATATTTTCTTAAAAATTTAAAATAACTGTTTTAATAACCTACAGTTATGTCTGCTCTGAGGATACAGAGGCTGAAATGTCGCATCACAGCATATGAAATAAATAATGTCTTTTGTTGGGATGCTCTTGTCATTGACTTTTTGTCATTTATAAATGTGTATTTTTCATATATGCAGATTAATAGATCAACGATCAGACAGAGTTTATGTCCATCTATTCAATGCGTGTGTTTCTTGATAGTACTTTTCAGAACGAATTTTGTTCATACGCTTTATACGGGATGTAACATATTACTACTTACTACTATAAAGCACACTCAAATCTGGTCGTAACATTATGGTGCAAAAAACAACAATAAATAAAAACGAAAATATGTAATATGTAAACTAAAAACGAAGAATGTGTAAAAGGGTAGGTAAACGATGATGCATACATGTTTACCCGAAATAAATACAGGCTGAATTATTTTTCGCAAAAAGAAAAATTGATTGATATATTTATTTTTTACGGCTAATCAACATTTTGCAAGACATTTAAAGCTAGAAAATATTTTTAGATTGTGGTATTTTTCGTGGCGATAATGATTTACTGATAAAAAAATTCCTACTAATTAACCAGTAAGAATTAACCCATAGCTGAGGAGGAATAGGTGGATCCATACCTTTCCCAATATTATTTATGAGTAAGTGAATATAACGAACCCAACTGGAATTAGAACTTGGCTCTCCGCAAACATAAAATAGTGAACGTTCTGTTTTAAGATATTTTAATAGCAATCAAATTAAGATACTGACAAGATTTCTTTTTCTTCTTCTTCTTCTTCTTCTTCTTCTTCTTATTATTATTATTATTATTATTATTATTATTATTATTATTATTAAAATCATCATCATGATTATTATCATCTTCATTATTATTATTAGTAGTAAAGTAGTAGTAGTCTACACTGGTCGTTAAAATTGACGGCAAGAAGGAATCTATTATAATATGTATTCTATTGTAAGTAATTTTCGTTTAATCCAATAACTATTTTAATCCTTCGCTATTAATGTTAATAATTGAACAGTGTACAATTTATAAACACCCAAGGAAAGATATCCGTATATTATCCTCATAAATGTTACATATTTACAATCATAATTATGTTTACTGCAAAAGTTCCTAAGCACAAAATTTTTTGTGTAAATTTTGGAAGGTCTGAGTAATATTTGGCAGTCTGTAGATCCAATCTCTAATTTCAGTGTCTGCTTATTTGTTGTCCTACTATGAGCAATGTATTTCATCTTTTTTCATCTTTTTTCTCAAGCTATTACCAAATTCCACAATAATTTACGACAAAATAAATATATATTCAGACTCAATATCATTCAATCCACCTTTTTTGCAAAAAAAAAAATATCATCGTATGATTTGAATTTGCCAAGATATTTTAAAATAAAAAAATACGTAATAATTGCATTAGAATCTATTTTGTAAGCATGTCGAAATTCTCAGAATTAAAAAGAAAAAAAAAACGAATGGGAATAATTATTATTCCCGTTCGTTTTTACACTTTAATTCTGCTGATAATTTCGAAACGCTATATGTATTTTTAAATTTTCTATTGTCTTGAATTCATTTTTGTATTTTTTCTGTAATTATTTTAACTTATTACTATTGATACTTTATTGAAGATTTTAAAAACGAAACATAATATCTCCTTCTTTTTTACTTTACTTTACAAAAACAAATTTCAAAGAACATATTTTGAATTCGTCCAGGCCGGGCCGGTGCAAGGGTCCTCGCCCTATCGAAATATAATTTACTTATGTTATGGAATTTTTTTTTTTTTCAATCATTAAAAAATAAACAATATTGTTTTTTTTTTTTAGTTTGTTACTAAGATGAAAAAAGTAAATAATTTTAAGTTTTATTAAAGCAAAACTATAGCGAGCCTTATTTTTTTGAAAATTAATTTAAATAAAATATGGTTAAATTCGTAAAACAAATATTTAACACGATTAATGTAGCCCGTAACTCATGTCTGTCACTAACAATTTTTATTTCACTATTTATTAAACTATTTATTTATTTTGATAATGTCTTTTTTTTTCTTTAAAAAAAAACACAAATATAACTTAAATTTGGTGCGGTGGTTAATCGTTATTTTGCACAATTCCTTCAACTGTTACGCAAAAAAAAAAATGCACACTAACCCTTAATTATTTACAAACAAACATGTAAGTATATATATATATATATATATATATATATATATATATATATATATATATATATATATATATATGTGTGTGTGTGTGGCGTATTACATATATTATTATTATTGTTATTATTATTATTATTATTATTATTATTAAGAAACGTCATCTTGTCATTGTGAAAAAATGGAAAAAAAAATCAAAATGATACGAACGCACCCAAATAAAAATAAACAATCCAGTTACAAGCCATATGTTGATAAGGAAATTGAAGAGAGATGTCAAAATATTGTAGAAACAGCATTACTAACCAACCCTCACGTTGCAATGGAATTTGAAGACGTCAAAAGCCACAACAAGAATCATGAGAAAAATTTTGAAATACTGTTGTGATTGAAAAAGAAACAAAAAAAAACAATATTCAAATCTAAGACAAAGTATTTCGAAACAACTGACAGAAAAGAAAAACAAACAAACAAAAAAAAAACAATATCAGTGTCTTAACAAATCTTTAGTAACAACGGCTACAATATAAGACAAGACTAAGGAAAGAAAAGAAGAAAAAATTGGAGCCAGGTCACTGGAAATTGCAAAAGGGAAATAAAATAAAACGATATTTGCGAACATAGATTGACAAGCAGGAGGACTTCCGGTTAAATAACGTCAAAATACTCGTTCTCATCTCCTCATCGAAATTAAGCAATCTTCCCTCTAACCAATTCAAAGCGACTGCTTTGGAACTCCAGGTCTTTTTCTATGTGCCGTGTTCATTCAGGACGTGGGCGAACATCGTTTTCCTGTCCTTGGTAGCTCTTAGTAAATTGTGTCATTATGCGATCTCTCCTAATCCCTGTTCTGCCAACCATTTCCACAAGCTCGTTATGTAGGTTATGCGCTGTCTTCTTCTGTTCATTTTTTTGTCTTCAACATATCCCGTAAGTGTCAAATTTTCGAAGCCCGTTCTCCCCATTATGCGCCCAATCTCAACTGTCTCCTTCTAAACATAAGTTTCCTTTTTAATTCCACTTTCTCAAAAACTAGTTCGTTGCTCACGTGTTCAATCCGTGGGATTCTCAGTATCCTTCTGTAGAACCACATGTCTCTTGCCTGAAGACTTTTCTTCATTTATATTCATGATAACCTTGGACCGTATCATGGATAAAATCTGGCGGGGCCTTTGAAAATTAGGAAAATAAGAATCTGTGATTTAAGAAAGGATTCTTATTATGGGGTGCATAAAGAGAATCACGGCTATCGATGCGAATAGTCGAACAGAGTTCAATACCAGAAAAATCGGGCGTTTTTATGGCTGAATACCAACCCAATACAAAGCCAAAGTCCTACAAAAGGTAAAAAGTTACTGAGGTGATTGTGATGGTATAAATGTGGAAATAAGCAATGCATATTATGGGGATATGAAGGATAGATAACGTTTGACCCTATTCTTGAAGATTTTAATCCCTTCTACCGCCAACTTTTTTGGGAAAAACGTTTCATTTTCAGACAAATCTTTGCATTTGATTTTAATATAGTAATTAAGAAACTGAGTAACGGAGAAAGGGCTGACACCTCTACCAGACAAAATGAATTTACAATTGGTCCCGTTTCAAGTTCAGAATGCATAAAAAGAATCAA